CCGGTTTGCTATTCGAGCGACAAACTTTTTTAAAAACGAAGTAAATTAGTACAAATTGTTAGTGATTTTCATTAGAGTTGGTGTAACTCCTTTTACTAAATGGCTTTTAGTAACTTTAACGAGACCTTAACTTATTTTATTTTATTAATTTTAGTGCAGTTTTGAGAAAATTTTCTTGCTAAAAAATCTTTTGTAACACTACTTTATTTTATTCCTTTGATTGCACATGTTAAATAAAAGCTTGTTTTTAAAAAACATTTGTTTGACATTATTTTATTTGTAATCTAGTTTCGCATTTCATATTTCCAATGTTTATTTCATCAGAAGACCATAAAAACAATAATTATAACAAGCAGATAAAGAAGAAAATTGCGAAAAATCGTAGCAACTGGATTGTTCCAGTTTTGCACCCGATATAAAATTTCGCCATTTGCTTGACTTTTAATAAATTTGGCATAACCAATTTGAATATTTTATCTTTTATGGTCATCTTGGGATACTTTCGCACAATTTTTAAATGAAATCTATTGAAATTGCGTACCGGTTTTCCTCAACGTCATGCCCAAGGTCTTGCATGCGATTGGGTGAATTTTCCATACACTTCCATAAATTTCTGTCGGACTCAAATCTGCAGGTTTACTCCATGATTATAAAAACTTGGGATTTATACCTATTTGGCCCCAGTTCCGGAGAATGTTTCTCATCATCATCCTGTTAAAATTGATAAAACCTGCGAAAGTTATCCTCAGAAATTGCCAAATACTTTGAAAATTTTCATTTATTGTCACTTTTCTTTCTACCATCAATTTTACACAGTTCTTGCTCCCTAAGGTGCATTTACTTCATTAAATATACACATACAAATGTAATAGGTTAAATATTTTGGGGGTTTAGACGTATCCCTGATGCATTTTAATTTCAATTTCGATTTATTCAGTTTATGACATGGTACAACTTACAGACTAGAGCAGAGGTCCCCCTGATGCTCATTTCTAACATATTCCCAAAGCTCATCAAAAAATGTGAGGATCCCAAAACTAAATTCGGAGTGGCAAATATAGTAATAAAATATTATCTTGTGTTCTACTTATTAAAATAATGTGATAACGCACTTGCAAGTTTTAAAAAACAGAGCTCGTAAAGCCATGAAAGAACTATCTCGCTCTGAGGAGTTATATCTTTATGAGCCCAAAATAAACTCCTTACATGTTCGGCTCACTCATGAATTTACATGTGATATATTTGTTAAATAGTTTAATTGTATTGATGCCATCATTTTTCCTTTTATCTTCTTCTTCTTATTTGGCGCTGCAACCGCCTAAGCGATTTTGGCCGAGTCCAAAACAGCACGCCAGTCATTTCTCTTCTGTGCTAACTGACGCCAATTGCAAATGCCACGTGAAGCCTTCTCCACCTGGTCTTTCCAACGCAGAGGAGGCCTTCCTCTTCCTCTGTTACCAGCATCGCGGCCCGCGTTGAATATTTTCAGAGCAGGAGCGTTTCTGTCCATCCGAACGACATGGCCAAGCCAGCGGAGCCGCTGAATTTTAATTCGCTGCACTATGTCTATATCGTTGTAAAGCTCATACAGCTCATCGTTAAATCGTCTGCGATATTCGCCATCATCTTTTTATCGCTCCTAGTTTTAAAGTGATGCGAAAAATATTCGTAAATCGCATTTTTAAAACACAAAACTTGAAACAACAAAACTGCAAAGCTTTTTACGCCAAACTTCAAATTCACAAACTGACGAAAAAGAAAAGACCGAATCTAGATAAATCGATGGTAAACAAACAAGCAAGCAAGAAGCTCAAGCAGTGTTCCACCGTCTTCATCCTCCNAACTTGAAACAACAAAACTGCAAAGCTTTTTACGCCAAACTTCAAATTCACAAACTGACGAAAAAGAAAAGACCGAATCTAGATAAATCGATGGTAAACAAACAAGCAAGCAAGAAGCTCAAGCAGTGTTCCACCGTCTTCATCCTCCTCAAAGCCGGATGGGCAAATGGAGTTGTCATTTACGCCTATCACAGTCAGGTGTTTGTGCCACGTAAAGTGACCAGTCAGCAGTTCCGTCTTCTCAGTGTGAGGAAAAAAACTAGATAGATCTTCCGAGATTGAAGACAATAGGATTTTTGCCAACCTGCATCCACTCGATGGCTCCCAGTCATTGCTGAGCGAAGTATCCACCCAGTTTCTGATGGTGGCTTCGATGGTCCAAGTGGTGAGTGCTATAACTGGTTGCGGATACAGGAATGCCTGGTCTAAGCCTCCTCTAGCCAAAGGGTCAGATATCTCATTTCCAGACGCTCACGAGTTGCCCGGTACCCAGAGTAAAGCAAGCTCGTTATCTTTACCAACATAATTTAGTCGAGACTTGCATTGCCGAACTAGTTTGGAAGTCCTTAGATAGAGGGCTAGCCAATCCCTTAAGTGCAGCTTGGCTGTACCTGTAGACACGTAAACTCCTTCCCCTCCACATATTTTCCACCATGTAGTCTATGGCTTGGGGATTGCAAATACCTCAGCCTTGAAGACCGAAGCATATTCCCCAAGAAAAAAAGTTAAGCTTATCCCCATTAACTTCGAAAAACACTCCAGATCCTGACCCTGAGTCAGTTTTGGAGCCATCAGAGAAGATTCGACAATGTACGAGAGCGGGCTCAGTGCTGGAATTAAACCAGCATTCCCCCTCAGGGAACTCTTACTCTCTAGAATCTCTTCAACAAAGGTAATGGTGGCGTACTATCCTGTAGCATTGAAAATACACAAGTGCTGAAACATCTGCCGCGGGCAATTTCCGCATCACCTCACTCAGTGTTATATCAACATCGGTTTCTTTTTAGTCTTCAGTTGGCCTTTAAGGCTTCCCTACGTATGATGACACAAAGAGACGGTAAGTTCACCAGTGCGTCAAGAGCACTATACACCACAAAAAATAAATTAAAGTTAAACAAATAGGCCATCATGCAACCACTTTGGTTCTTTACTATCGAAAGCAGATGAATTTTTGTGGACCCCCACTTATAACTCGTGGACCCCCATATTTTTTACGCCAACGTAGACCCCAGTCGAGTCTACCGTGGACCCCTGGGGGTCCACTTGGACCACTTTGGGAATCACTAGAGCTACATATACAATTTTCTTACATTAGATATGTATACGCAGATGAAAACTCCCATAAAGGGCAAATTTAAACTAACGATACAGGCTGACTTAAAAACAGATCTTGGTGATGAAAAATCAATATTTAATTTTCTTGAGATTGTAGGTATTATACACAAGCACCTGATCCAATATTCCAACTGTAAACGCTTAATTTTCTCCTTAGAGTTACAATGTCAATTAATAATAAATTTTGGTGGAGTAGTGTGAAGAACTTGTAAATGCCCGCTTCAAAATAATACCAATCCAATGTTTTTTCTTGGTAAAAATGCGTTTCTGACTAAAAATGTTTCTGGTTGTCAAGGCAGGCTTTCGCCTCTTTACCTTTATGCTGCAATAACTTTTTTTCAAAGTCTTACATAATGTCCAGTCACTTGATTTGTGGTGAAAAAGCAGTTATTTTTGATGTGGAACCAAAGTTTATTAGAATTTAAAGACCCTCCAATATGCCTAGCCTGGAAAATCGCATTATTTTGTGGTCTCTTGACATTGCAGACCGGGGTCCGCCCTTTTATCGCTTTTTTTAGATAACCATAAAGCGGACATTTGGCCGATATGATTTCTTTTTTTATAGCATGGACTTTCTGACCGGTTTGCAACAACTGTTAATTTTGTTTGCTTGGTATGTGCACTTAAAGTACTCACAGTAATAATCCCTCGCGCCTTGATTTCAAAATTTCAGGAAATGAGCCAGAACTCCTCTTTGAATTACTTATAAAATTCAGCAATTACTAAGAGGGCGCCAAACTGGAACAATTCAGTTCATTTTTATTTGGTAATTTTTTCTGAGTTTCTATATGCGAATTTTAAAATTTTTATTGTCATACGTTTAATTAAACATCGGTAAGGCGAAGTGCAAATTTGAATTACAGTAAAATTAATAAACTGAAAAAGTACATTACCACAAATTTAACTTTCCGTTCTATTGTTCCAGTTTTGCTCTTCGTTGTATGTATTAAAAGGAGCATATTGTCTAGGCATACATATTGCAATACTTTGTTCCGTAGTCTTTTTCTTATTCAATGTTAAAAAAATAGTTTATTCGAATATGCAGCTTCTGCGGACTATAAAGGTGTTGTATTGAATACAATTGTTAATAAAAAGGAACCGTAGACTTTCAATGATAAATAAATTTTTGTAACGTAAACAATTTAACAATCCAGTGAAAAGAAGCCGAAATATTTAGGAATTCAGCGATTAATTCAAGGATAATCGTAACAATACTTACAGTAACGACATTTTAGCATTCTTTGGCTATTTCCCTTCCGTTTATTTAACGTTCCTTATCTTTTTTATGGACGTATAGCTAGCTCGTTATCTAACAAAAATCATGTTAGTAAAAATTTCAAACTTTTTCTTTAAACATTCTGAGTATGCAGTTTTGTAGCCCATTCAACTTTCTTTTAATAAAGTGCAAATTTTAGGTAACTAGGACTTACTATTGATTTTTGGATTTTTTTTTTGTGGCAGGTGTTACGGATTTTCTCCACACACAAAAAATTTCGAACATACTTTGCTTGGAAGAAAATACGTGAAGAAAAAATTTTCCAAAAATCAACACTTACCTAGCTGGTTCAAACTTGCACTTTTCTATACTAGAATTTAAAAAGCTGCGTACTGAAAAAAAATCTGATTAAACAGTTTGAAATTTTGATGAACATGTGTTAAAATTGCGGCCGATACTAGCCGATGCCAATGCCGATTACGGTCGGACTCTATATTGCAGTTCTCTTGTCAAATGGTCGATTGGGTACTTAATGTGTGTGTTCTGCTATTCGAAGGCGATGAACTTAAAGTGCATCTACTATAACGAATGTATATTAATATTTTCAGAGGATGAGAGGAGATTATACTTGTTGCATACAATAATATATCTTCGTGCAAAGAATAGCTTCGTACCCACAAACGAAACGCGCATTCAAGTGGAGTTGAAATATGCAAGATACCTGGCGTTGAAAAGTGAGTATAATTTGTTAGTATAAAAGACACTTACGTAGATACCGCAATGCAGTGGTCGGCATACAAACACACTCAAACGATTCAATAAAAGGCCCTACACACCAATTTATTTATAGCCCAATCAGTTGACCAACTTAACGAAATTCTCTACAAACGCGCCACCCGGTTGGTCGATTTCGTGTGAGTAAAAATTTTCGAATAGTAAACATGTCCGCAGCACAAGTAAACTTTTAAGTTATGATAAGAATGCTTACCGCCGCCAATTCACAATTATACGCATTCACACTAGCGAAACGAACTTAAAAAACACACGTTAATGTGCATCACACATTGTGTCTACACAAAGAGCAAAAATTTAACCAATCTGTCCCAAAAATAAAAAAATTTTATTTTTCTACATATTGAACAATTTGACGAAGGTTACACTCGGCTTATTTACAACCATCTTCTAGGGATTGGCCTTTACTGAGGCTGTACACGTGCATTTTTTGGCCGTAGCTGTTTGGTAGTTGGCCGACGTCAGCACCGAAAGATAATTGCGCGCGGCCGCCTACCACCATCGCAGAAAATCTACGAAGAGGCAGTTCCGCCATCAACGTCGGGCTATGCGCACACGCCTAAGCCTGCAAATTATCACCTATTATATTATGACCTTTTATCTTATATTAAAGTATTGACTTTGATAAACAACCGTTAGTATAATATGGAAATGGCGTATCTCACATCTTCGCTGAAAAGCAAAAAAAACCATAACTAAGACTGCTTTTACACAGTTCAAGTATTGAATTCAATTCTGCTCGCATGTGGAAGAGAGGGGGTGAGAAGAAAAGGGACGAGTACACATGCGTCTGTACCGTCAAGTCGTTTCTACTTTCTTGTTTTGCTTTTGGCATTTTCGTTGCATCCCATTTAAAGAACCAAAAACTTGAATTCAACAGAATTGAAACGTGTAAAAGCAAATAGAAAACACAAAAGAGAATGAGCAAGAATTGCTTTCGAGTACTTGAATCATGTAAATCGGGTGTAACTAAAATTTTGTATTGCATAAAAAAATGTGGGGATTTATAATTCGCTGAAATTCATAATGATCAATCAAAAAGGGAATTTTGAATTTTTAGTTAGATACGGCTTTTTGTACGCCTTTACCATACTATACTAACGATATGTAGCCCACTAAGCGCTCTATGAGCACATGTGCGTTTCACACGTATACGAAGAGCGGCAGATGAGCAGTGCTTTTAAGGCACCGTCTCCACAGGAAAACACTGATGTCGTGATAACCACGTCACAAAATATATTTCCAATGGAGACCACCTATTTCTCATGCAATATATGCATCGATGAAATTTTTATATGTAATCAAAGTAAGAAGCTGTTCCCTATTGGATTATTTATGATCACGTTTTAGGAATTTCACCAGCAAGTTTTTTAGGATTAAAACGTTTTTAAACACTAAAATAGAGAGAATGTTGTCTGGTGGCGTCATGTGGCAAATGCTTATATCAATACATCAAAGTGCCCACACACGTAAACTTGCAATCATATTGCTTGAAATTATCCTGCCTGTGGAGTTCGGAAGTAACGTTCACAGTCTCACTTAAAGGCCCTACACACGCATTCAATTATCGGCCAACCAGTTGGGCCAACCGTTAGAAGTTGCTTGTATTTTCCATACTCTACTCTACGATATATGGGCATAACTTTAGAACTTTTGATTTTGGTGATGATGCATCCTTTCGTTTGTATATGGTCAAAATCACTATATCTAATAACCGCCTCAGTCGAGAGTTATATATACTACCAGTTACATATACTATGAGTTATATATACTATGGTATTCTGCAACTACTATTCCAAGTGTACGTGAAATCCCCATTTCACCAGCTATTTAAAAAGTTATACACGAACATATTTTGGTTTCGCCATAAGGTTAACATTACAGTCCAAATGTTTCAAACGTTTTTTCTCGAATTCGAGCTTTTTCGTCTTAGCGTTACTGTAGTGCTTTATCTGATCTCAAAAAATACCCGCTCATTGTAATCGCAAAACTAACTAAAACACCAGTGAGTCAAAGTAATCATTAATAGGGAAGAAAAAAATATGCAAATGCCTATTATGACATAAAATACATATTTTGCCGAAAAAGCATAAAAATGCATAAAAAATATTATTTTGGTAATAAGTTACAGATTTTGAATAATTTTAAGTCTTTGAGTATTATAAAAATATTGTACATGAAAACCACGCGACAAAAGATAGCACATCAATATTTTTACCAAGTTTGACCACTTTTCTTTTGCTTTTTTAAGGTTCATTATTTTTATATACAAGTATAGTCCTTTATCTAACAAATACCGTATAAATCTAAATTTCTTTGTACAAAAATTATAAAAAATCCACAAACTCTTCACACCAATTCCAAGAATTTTAATCTTAATAGGTATGCAGTTTTATAGCTTATTAAATTCTAGTATAATAAATTGCAAGTTTGAAGTTGCTGATAAATCGCAACTTTTAGATGGAAAAGAGTGTATAACACCGTCAGGAAAAAAATTTATCAAAAATCAACGCGATTTTTTAGAAACTTTAAACTTGCACTTTATTGTACTAGAATTTAATAAGCTATAAAACTGCATACCAAGAATTATTCAAGAAAATAAAATTGACAACGTCAATCTTTCCTAATTCTTGGAAAAGAGCCAAGATTATACCTATAAAGGAACCGAATGGTGACTACCGTCCGATTGCAATATTACCGTTTCTATCTAAAGTTCTTGAGCGTATCATGCATCGCCAGATAAACACTTTTCTGAATAATAACGCCTAAGTGAACCCATTGCAGTCGGGGTTTAGATCCAGTAGGACTAAACATTGACAAAAGGCGTGTGACTTTTCTTTCTTTACTTGGCAATTCCAAAGCATTTGACTGTAGATCACGAACTTTTAACCTTGAAGCTCAAAAACTTATTTAATTTTTCAACGTCGGCTTTAACTCTTGTGGAAACATATCTGAGTGATCGATTACAAGCAGTATGTGCCGGTAACACTACATATATCCACCTTTATACCTTTAACCTTTTGTCAGCCGCTTTGGTGTAGTGGTAAGCAATGCGCGCTTCCACTCGGCAACGCCTGTTTCAAGCCCTGGTCAAAGCAGAATCGCAAAAAAATGTAGAAAAAAGGTTTTTTCTTAACAGAGGTCGTCCCTTGGCAGGCAATGGCAAACCTCCGAGGGTATTTCTGCCATGAAAAACAGCTTCTCATAAAAATACAATCGCCGTTCGGAGTCGGCGTAAAACTTTAGGTCCCTCCGCTTTGTGTGATAACATCAAGGCGCACGCCACAAAGGAGAAGCTCGGCCAAATACTAACATATGTGTAAGCGCCAATCTATTATTATTACCTTTCACCACCTCAAGTTTCTATACTTGGCCCGCTTTTGTTTGTCTTGTATATTAATGATTTGTTAAGTGTGATTAACTATAATGATGTCCATGTATATGCCGATGATGTTCAATTATATATGTTAGTTGTCCCCTTAACTGCATTGATGTTTGCATCAGCAATTTGAATTCTGACTTGACATTTATAAGCAGGTGGGCTTCTGACAACGGATTAATCCTTAATCGTCATAAATCTCAATGCATCGCTATATATAGGAAATATGTCAAGCTTAACGACTATACAGAGGTCAGACTAATCAATGCTGTGATTAAATAAGTGGACATTGTTAAAAATTTAGGGATTACATTTAGTAGAACTTTGACATGGAGTAACCATATTTTTAGTGCCATAGGCAAAGTATATGGTATGCTCCGAAATTTATGGACTACTCAACACTTTATACCAGTGAAAATTCGACTGCTTCTAGCCAAAACGTATTTGTTACCAACGTTACGTGGTTGTGAGTTATATTCTCATTCTGATAGTGTGTGCCGTAGTAAACTTAATGAGTTGTATAATAATATCGCGAGATAAGTTTACTGTAAAAAGCGTAACGACCATATTTCTGTTTTCGCGAAAAAATTGCATCGGTATCTTTTGACGATTTGCTTAAGTTTAAATGTTAAGTGATATCTCAGAAGATCATTACTACCCAGGAACCCAGATATCTGGAAGATCGACTTCTGTTTTCAAAATCTTGCCGTTCGCTGAACTTAATGAAGTACAGTTGTTTTGTGACTGAACGTTAATACTTTGTGTTCCCTGTCCATCTTTGGAATAATTTTGGAAATTAAGTGTATAAAAGAGAACTTGCGCTTCAGAGGTGAATTACTTCGTTCTTCTTCTTATTGGCGCTGTAACCGCCTAAGCGATTTTGGCCTAATTCAACAAAGCACGCCAGTTGTTTCTTTTCTGTGTCAACTGACGCCAATTGGAAATGCCAAGCGAAGCCAAGTCTTTCTCCACCTGGTCTTTCCATCTCAGTGGGGGCCTCCTTCTTCCTCTGCCACCACCAGCGGGTTGCGAGTTGAATGCTTTCAGAGCTGGAGCGTCGGTGTCCATTCGAACGACATGCCCGAGCCAGCGGAGCCGCTGTATTTTATTTGGACTGAGTAGGCAATTCAGGAGTAAAGTCCTCTCTCGACGTACGGAAACAACACTCTATGACAACATCCGATGAAGCGGCTCTTGGAGTATTCGAGAGGAAGAGTTTGTGGAAGATTTACAGGCCTTTACGCGTTGGCGATCGCGAGTACCGCAGACGATGGAGCTTTGAGCTGTATGAGAATTATTTACTTCGTATTCAAATATTGCTTAATATACTTAAATAATTTCTCATTCTTCCAATTAATTCAAATTAATCCCTACTACTATTACTTCTATTTTCTTTCTTTAATACCTTCTACAACCTCAATCTTTTTACAACTAACTAAAATATTAATTTTATTGTTAAATGTTGAATCTAGGATTTAAATATATATATATTTGAGCAAAATTATCGTATGTTACATTTTTTATGAAATTCAAGTTTTGATGCAACTTTGTTTTACAACCCAT